TGAACTGTGCTACCAGATAGCAAATTATAGTAATTATAATAGTGTAGAATTGAGCAAGGATATACAAATAATCAAATGGAACAAAATACAGGGTCCAGAAATAGCTTCGCACATACACTGCCATTTGACTCAAACACAGGCAGGAGAGAAAAGGATAGTTTCTGCAATGAATTATATACTAGGTCACTGAGTATCCAATTAGGAAAATAATAAATCCTGACCTCTACTCTTCAACCAAAATATAAATTCCTAATGGATAACAGACTTAAAACACAAAAAGTAAAACAAGAACAGTTCTAGAAGAAAGCACAGAATAATTTTCTCAGGGCTTGTTTGGAGGTTCTAGAAGAGAAGCTACCCATACACCCTTGATCAAGAACAGTCCTCCCTTATTGGGAAGTTATCTTCTTAACCAGGCACACATGAGGGAGAGGGGTGCTTGTCTAGAAACCAGATCAGCAAATCAACCCTGACAATTAATGGACTGGCACATAACAGCCAGGATGCCCTCACATTCTAAAAGAATTATCTTCACTGTCCTTTGGCAAGCAAAGATTTCTTAAATATGACACAAACAGCATTTACCAATAAAGGAAAGAACAAAAAGGTAAACTGAGGTGAGTGTGGTACCACATGCCTGTAGACTCAGCTACTCAAGAGACTGAGATGAATCAATCACTTGAGCCCACAAATCTTTGATAGGCTGGGCACCATAATGAAACTCCCATCTCAAAAACTAGGAAAGGCTAGTGTGGAATGTTGACTTCCAGGCATGACATGGCTGTTGCACTCTTGAACTCACAGTTTTAGCTATGCAAGATCTGTGCAAGTGTGGCCCTTTCAATCCCTCAGTGAAAGGAGAGGAACTTCCCTAAGGATTAATAAGCATTTAATATTAATACAAGTAATGGTTAGTGAGGAAATGAGAGGCATTTTCTCCAGTGGTGTAGCCAATGGTAAGGTACCCAGGAATATATAATAAAATAACATTTTAAAGGTATTAATTCAACAGTGTTAAAATAATGTTATTTATGTCAAATGTGGTGGCACATTCTTGTATTTCAATGAGGTAAAAGGAGGATCCTAAATACAAAATCAGCCTGTGATGTCTAGAATAAAAGTAAAACATAAAAAACTATGTATAAGATAGAAACATTAAGAACTACTATGGAATGGCAAACAGTATCTGTAACGCCTATAGTAGACAAAAGCACTTACCGGTGTATTAGAGAAAGTACACTCATAAGGAAAAGCAGGCAGTCCATTAGACAAAAACAGGAAAATAAGTGCGTATCACACACACAATCATCCCCCAAGTTATTTAGATGGTCAACAAAAACATGAAACAATTTCATCAAACACCATGGAAACTTCATACTAAAACAGGGTACTACTGTTGATCTGCTAATCTATTGAAAAGGGTCAAATGAAAAGGGTAATTCCCAGTATTGATACATATTTGAAGCAGCTGGAACTCACACATTGCTAGCAGAGCATAAATTAAGTATAAACACTTTAGAAAAATTTGTCAGCTATTAGAAAAGCTGAGCACACATGACCCCTCTAAGTAACTGTACTCCTAGATATATACTGAAGTGTTTATGTATACAAAATAAGAATATTCAAGCCAGACTCTTCGTAATAGTATCAAAATAGAAAAAATCTCAAATATTGATTTATAATAGAAAAATATAAATACATCAATTGTGTTCTATTCATAATTATCCACTGGTGAAAACGTACATATGAAACAGCAACACTTGTGAATTTCTAAAGCATATTACTGCTCAAAAGAACACAGTGTTCAAATAAACCTAACAATAGGCACACTTAATCTATGGTGTTTAGAGAACACGTTAATGACTTTACTTGGGCTAGAAGACCAGGAGAAAGGACAAACACGTTAACTACATGGCTATGATCTTATTGCCCAAACTCAATTGAATCATACAGTTAAGATCCGTGAACTTTACCTTAATACAAAAAAAAGGACAAACACAAAGTTTTGCCAGAACCTACCAAGTGGAAAAAAAGTGAAAATGCTCTTTTGTAGGTGCATGATACTGTCACAGCTTCAAGATTTTCCATGCGCTCTTTCAGGTTTTAAGTATGGTTTTTATGTGTCTATCACGAACTCGTAAAGCAACACTCTACTTGATATTAGCTTTTCTAATACCCTTTTTCTGAACTATCCCACCATAAGTTATAGCTCCTTTCATAAACTCTCCGAATATCTGAGCTTATTTCTATACGCTATACATTTAAATCTCCATGGCAGGGTATAGATATATTTTAATGATTTCCCAGGATCTAATTCAGTCCCTTGAATATATAATTCGGATGAATGAAAGATATAAGAAACTAGTCTTTATTCAAGAAATTTTAACTTTGAATTCATTTTTTGAAAAATCATAAAATCATGATACCATTTTAGTTTATGATAGATGTATAAATGCCTATTCTAATCTAAAAATAAATAAATAAATTGCCCAACTATATCTTTTTTCCTTCATTCTTTACTGAGATAGTAGCTAAGAAATTCAAACAATCACTGCTCCACTTGACAGGTTAGTGAAAACACTTAGCAGCTAAGTCCAATGTAAAAGCAGGCTAATTCTAGCTGCTGAGCTTCAGTTACAGGTCCCAACCTTTTTTAAAGATTTGCCTTTTTAAAAAAATAATTTTATTTTTTAATTTAATTTTTGTGGTTTTCATATTATATAGTTTGATGGTATTTAGACTCACTCCCCTTTCTTTACCTACACCCACTGTCCCCCATTCAATTTAATGTACTCTCATATCATATATATATATATGGCCCTTCAGTGTGGGTTCATCCACTAGGCCCACCAAGAGTCTCTCCCCATCCCAGCAGCCATCAGTTGCCAAAAGTTCGTTAGGCTGGGTTGGGATTTCATAGCCACTTCCCCATGTCTATGCTGGGATTTTGTCTGGTTTGAGCTTGCATAGGACTTGTACATGCTGTCCCCATTGCTGTGAGTTCATATGAGTATCTGACCAGCTGTCTGAAGACTCTTGTTTTCTTATGGTTATCCACTTCCTCTAGCTCTAATACAAAAACCCACAATTGGCCAAATGTGCAGAGAATAGGAGGCTGCAGAGTACTTATCCATGAATAGGACATCTATTTCAAACCTCTGCCTCCCAAGGCTCAAAGATCATTGCAGAAGAGGAAGTGGAAAGATTCTAAGATTTATTTTTATGAGACAGACGGGGGAGGGGGGGAACATGTAGATGTCAGATCCCTTGGAGTTCGAGTTATAGGTAGCTGTGAGAAGACTGATGTGGTTTCTAGGAACTAACTTTAAGTCCTCTGGAAGTTCAGCAAGGACTCTTAACCACTGAGCCATCTCTTCAGTCAGGCCCCATCCTTTAAATAAAGTCATTCTCTCAATTTATGAAGCTCCCATTACATAGTCCTAGATCCTCTTTCCCTTTAAATATGTAGTCTGTTCCACACACGGGTCCAGACTAGCTATGCCCAATATAAGCATAGGTACTTATGGGATTAAAACTGAGGAGTTTTATGCTATTTTTCTCCTTGCATGCTGTTCTCTAAGAAGCTCTACTTAACATTTAGACTCCATGTGTTTGCAAAATAGATCCTCCTTCCTCTGCACATCATCTTTAGGTTTTGAGAAGTTTTCTTGTGGCCCTCAAGATCATTCCTTTCCAATGATGGAAAGATTATTTTATCAATGTCCTATTTTGTAAGTTTTCCTGATGTACCATGCTTGCTGTGTGGGGCTTATACATATTTGCTAAGCTGTTTTTATGAGCTGAAATAAGGGCATACTTCAAACCATAGGTTATCCTAATAGCACCCACTAATGCCTTCACTATCTACTCAGTCAAGCTTTGTCTCTGAACTACTACACTGATTCTGCAAAACTCATTTTCAGAACTGTGTTGGCCCCACTAAGTTTTCTAAAGCTATTCTTCAAACTTCTGACACGCAATCTTCCCAGGGATAGCATATCTTCCTACTGAACAGGAACTGAATAATGAGTTATACAAATACAGTATTTTTTGAAATTCTTTTTCATTCTTTTCTTTAAAACAAAGGGTGTACTTTTTCTTATCAAAGATTTGAGGTCTATGGGTCTTATAGTTTCTGTGTCAATTACTTAACACAGCTGTAATATGAAAGTAGCCATAGAAAATACATAGGGCAAAGCAATGTTCTAATAATACTTAGAAAAATGGGCAGTTAGTGTGGGGGCCACAGATTGCCAGTCAGTTTTAAATACAATTGGCCTCTTCATAGATCAGCATCATATTGAAATTACCCTGAATTTATAAGGGTTTAATGACACTGTATTGCAAACTTACCAATTAAAGTTAAAGTATTACACATCAATGTTTTAGAGATACGTGTGATAATGAAGAATAAAAACCATTTTCCTAACCTGTGTTCCTTGTTTCAAAGGTCTTATGTCAAAACATTTACACTGTGTAAAAGACCCAGAAATGGTAAATGATATTGAATTCAGTATTGAATTTAGAGCAGAGGGACCCAATTAAAAAAAAAAACTGTTCTTATTACTTTGTGGTTAATCAGAAAACATAACTCATTAGGAACACACTCATTGGTAACTGTGGCTAACTTAAGAATTACCTAATATTGACAAGAGAAACAATAATTTGAAAACAATCACATAAGACTAATAAACACTATCAATGTAGCAAAGACTAAATATCTTATAAAAACTCTACACAATGAGTATAAATGGTAGGATTACACTGATTTTACTTTTCCTGTTTATCTACATCATTTATAGGATACATGAGATAATACACCTTTCTTTCCTATAATAAAAGTTTTAAAGCATATGAACAAAAAGACACAATTTTATGTCTAAAATTTTTCATTTGCTTTGGAACTACAAAGTTGAAATTAAGTTTAAGAAGGATTCAATCATTCTATCCTCTGTTTTAAGAATATTATGATTGATTAAATAAATTAAAATTTCATTTACCTGTCTGTTCCTCTCATCCATTATGCGTGTGATTTGTATTTTCTTCCGCCCCATTTTCAGTCACGTTTCCTTCCTTGTATTACAAATAATTAATTCAAAAATTAATTTTCTTCAATATCCTAATGCATCGTACACAGCTTCTATTATTTCAGCTTCCAGTCCAAGGGCTATAGCTGAAATTTTCAATACAATCTAAAAGAAAATACAAATTAGAAGATTTCAGTTCTGTACACTTGTAAACATGAAAGTGTTAACAAATTGCAAATCTGTTTTTAAGTTCATATAGGAAGCATTATTAATCAGAATTTTTGATTATAGAAAATGGGGATCTCCTTGTGCCTTTAGCTCTGACTAAACAAATTTAAGTACAGTGCTTGGGATTTTATCAATGTACATAACAGCAACAACAGCCAATATTACTAAGATTTTTCTATGTGCTAGACATTTTTCTAAGTATGGAAAATCTCTAGTTAACCCTATCTAGAATCTTTAGAGTTAGACATAATTATCTCCATTTTATAAATAGGAAGACTAGGGATACTAAGACAAAGAAAAATTAAGTAATATGCCAAAGGTCACTCAGTAAGGAGCAAACACTAGCATAAGATCTCTGGTAGCTAAGACTCTAGAACCATCTGTTTTCACCAACACAGAATATTCCTTAAAAAACTTCTGATGACCTCCGTGTAAGGAGTAACTAGTAGGGATGACCACGATCTGCCTTTCAAAGTCCTTCTAAATCGTTTCACCATCAAGCCAAATTATTACTACTATTCATAAATCTACAAAGATACTACTGCATAACCTTTATATTATTATGCATTTAAATGAAATATTATTTCTTTGGTCATTTATTGAATACTCCTTGTCAGTCAAAATTCAGTTCTCTTGGTAGAACAAACTGCAAGCAACTTTAGGGAAGGGGATGAATACAGATGTGTAAATTCTGAGCTTCAGTCTTTAACAGTATATCCATTTATGTATAAAACTTCAACTGTATCATGCAATCCAGGGATTGGTTAAACGTAGCTTTTGCTTGAAAGCAATAGGCTTTTTGCTTCTTACCACATTCAGCACGATCATCAATGTATCTTTGCTTACTCCTTCCACATTCTTGATTTTTTTCACTTATACAATTGTAACACCTACAATGATAGCCTACTCATTCATTACTTGCTTACAATAAATGTACTTCCAAATACTGAAGCAAGCATGAAGATAAAATGGTCAAGAGGCAGCTAGGGATATGTTCAGTGGCTCTGTAACACAATGCTTACCTAGCATGCTAGAGGCCCTGTTCAATCCCCAGTATATCAAAAGGATACACACAAGGGGGAGGGAAGAGGCAAGATGAAAAGAAAAAGAAATACATGATTCCCAATCTCACAAAGTTCAGAGTCCACAGGGGAAAAAGATATCAAACCCTCATACAAATGATCAATGGAAGAAAATGCTTCCCTGAATATGTCGCATACTCAAACCTGAATACAAAGATGTTACACACATGGCAAAGAATAGTATGTGCAAATGCCCCAGACAAAAGAAGGAACAAACACTAAAGGAATTGAAAGACGTGGAACGTAAGCAAATTTGCACTATGAACAAATAGAACAAATCACACTCTAATTCTTTACCATAAAAATTTGAACTGTAACAGCAAGATTTGTGCATCTCATACACATTCATACATTTCACTGCAGAGGTTTAACTTATAAAGTATGCCAGATCTTCTCTGCCTCAAGGATTCACACACACATTATCTTCTATAATTGGAACAACTACAAATTCTACTATGTATCTGAACATTTTGTATGACAGTTGTGGAGCAGGGTATTACAAATCAACCTTCTTAGAACAACTAGAAAAGCAAACCAAAAAGCAGTATGTTTTAAGGCATTGCAACTTTCAAGACAGTGATAATGTGCAGAATTGAGATCTAGAGGAAACCTGTCTTGGACTCATTTTTGCCTGTGGATTCTAAATCTACTGACTGAGGCTGAGAAATCTGACAGGACTTCTAATGCATCCACAAATTAAAGTACAAAAATTCTATTCAGGGCCTGCCCAGGAGAAATAGCCTAAGGAAGTACACCAGTATCCAGAGAGAGCCAAAGGGCTTACTCTGAGGCATGAAGAGAAAAGAGAAACAGAGTAACACACACAGGGAGGAAAGAACAGCAACATTCCCCTCAATTCCATATTACAATTAGGCAATCTGCACTAGTGACAGCTATTAGTCTACCTACAATTCAGTTTAAAAAAAAAAAAAAAAAAAAAAAAAAAAGCCTAGAAGCCATGTCAGCACCCTGGAGGCAGAGGCAGGCAAATCTCTGTGATTCTAAGGCCAGCTTGGTCTGTCTACATAGGAGTTCCAGACCAGCCAGGGCTACATAGTGAGACCCTGTCTTAAACCACAACCCCAAAAGGAAGCCAAACATGACACCTCCCCCAAGCAACTAAAAATGATAATTGAAACTGACCTACAGTTGAGCAATATAATGATATCAGAAAGATTTTGAGTTAATGTGTTTAAGTAATTAAAAGAATGAATTTTAAAATGGAAGGTTAAAAATACAACTTTGAAAAGAAACTTATGAATTGATTTAATAATAGATAAGGTACAACAAAAAAAGAAAAGAAAACCAGCAAACTAGAACAGAGGAAAGAAGAAAACACTTTGGCAGAAATAAAGAGACATGAAAATAAGAAACACAAAAGAATATGGAACATTACAAGACATGGAAAAGGACCCCAAAACATGTACAGATGAAGTTCCAGACTGGGAAGAAAAAGGATGAAATAGAAATGTTTGAAAGCATGGTCACTAAGAAGTTTCAAAACTAATGAGGTATCAAGTTACAGTTAAAGAAACTCTACAAATCCCAAGGTAAAATAAATATAATAATAATAAATATACTTAGTCTTATTAAAGGAGAACTTGTGTCACCTCACAGAAAGCTCTTAAAAGAAGGAAGGAAAAAATTTATTTGGAAAAATCACTTCAAGAAGAAACTGTGAGATTTTAACATAGACAATAAAGCTTCAACACCAACAAATAATATGTTTCAAGTGCTACAAAGCAGGAGGAAGAATACTAAACCAGAAGTCAGTATCTAAGAAAAGTATCCTTTAAGACTGAAAGTCAATACAGGGATATTTTTAGGCAAAGAGAAACAGAATCTGTCATCAGAAAAGACTGAAGGAACATCTTCAAGTAAAAGGAAAACTAGATACCAGATGTGGCTTCAATAGGCACACAAAAAATTTAATGCCCAAAACAGGGTGCATAAATAACTCTAAATACATACTAACCAAAATGAATAATACTTGGTAGGATTTAAAATATTAGACTACGCAAAATAATAGGATAGAATTTGGGAGGCTATCAAATGAAGTTAAAGTGCTCTAAAATAATTTATTCATGAGGAAATGGGGAGATCTCATTTACTTTAGACTTTAATAAGAATACATTTCACAATCTCTAGAGTAAACCACTGCAAGAACAGTAAAAGTATGGGTATCTTTAAAAAGCTACAAGGGCAAAAAATGGATTAATAATTCAAAAGAAGGCAAGGAAGAAGATACAAATAGAAAGCAAGTAAGCAAGTGACAGATTTAATCCAAGTACAAGGGTATTTACATTTTACATAATAAAATTAAACCTCTAATTAAAAAAAAATAACAGAATCTCATTTAAAAACAACCCTATCATATGACTACAGAGGCAATACTTTCATGTAAGGACACAAAAACAGAAAGATGAATTGTGTAAAATGCAGACCAAAGGAAAATTATGTAGGCAGCTTATCAAGGCAAACTTCAAAGTGGGATAAACACATAAATAGGGGTGAAGACATAGACATTTTACGATAACAAAAGTTCTATTCCAGCCAGTGAGATGGTTCAGCAGGTAAAGGCAACTTTTGCCACACACTTCGTCACACCAGAGTTTGATCCCTGGACCCAATGGTTAAGGAGAAAAAAGCACCCCCAAGTTGTCCTCTGGCCTCCACATGTGTGTGTACACACACACATCACATAAATGAATGAAAGTGATTTTTTTTAAAGTTCATTTCACCAGGAAGAGGTAATACCTAGTATCAGACAGTCAGAAACCTGTTCTTAAAATACATATATTCTGGGCAAACACTGTAAACGAAAGCTTGTTTGCCATTTTTAAGTGAGAAAATTATGTTACACATTATTAATTCATGGTCAGTAATCATTTCACTTTTTAAAATTTAACTGAAATGCAAAAAATGTCCCATTTATAGAAGTAAATTACCACGGTTAGGATAGAAAATGCTTACTACATGACTTCATGCCACACACACAACTGAACACTTTTCAACATTTCTGTACATTCTATAAATCTTTAGCTAAATATAAAAGGCGATTAGAAACATGCTCATGACAAATCCATGGGGCAGGCAATGACTCAAAGGCTTTTAGAGTAACGTCTTACTGCCAGCAATACAGATCTCTTTTAACACAGTATAAGTACTTTAAAATGTCTATGTGAGATTCCAATATCCACCAATTGTATTTGGAATATATTCTCCCACAGGATTTTAACTATTGCACTGCACTATATATGCAAAAAAGGTTCCTAAATAAACTTTAAATAAGAAACAAAAAGTATGACTATACACAAAGCTAACCCTCAAAGAACTATCTGCAATCTACAACTACATCAAGCTGATTTTAGCAGAGCCATCTCCAGGACTGACAGAACAAGCAGATCAGAATGAAGGAACAAGCTGACCAAAATGAACAAAGACTTAACAAGGTAAACAACCAAACTGACACACAAAACTATCTACAACCACAGGAAATGTTTTCTTCCTAACTACAAACACTGACCAAAAGTGACAACACGTTGGACCATTAACTAAATCTGAACAAATGGTAAAGGACAGACATGGTCTCTAATCTCAGATGAATTAAGCTAGAAATTAAGAACAAAAAAATTAGCCCGAGAACCTATATAAATATATATATATATATACACACACATATTATACATATATACATACACACACTACTAAGAAACAAACTTCAAATAATTCATACTGTAAAAAAATAAGAATTATAAAACTTTTTCATGAACTGCTATCTTTATAACAAAATATATGACATAGCTAAAGCTTTTTCTTAGAGAAAAAAAAATGTCAGCTTTAAGATACATATAC